GCTTCTTCATTGTTTCTTCACTTTAGCATTTCAGTTTGCATTAGCAGCTTCTTCACTGCTTCCTCACTTCACCATTTCAGTTTGCATTACCAGGTTCTTCACTGCTTCTTCACTTCACCATTTCAGTTTGCATAACAAGCTTCTTCACTGCTTCACCACCGTTAGTTTGCATTACCATTTCAGTTGCGAAAGGGTTGTCATAACCCCACCGCAACCACCGACGGACGACTCAGATCTGTCATCGTCAAGCCACAAACCAGCAGATCGTGACAACCCCAGCGCAACCACCGATGGATGACTCAAATCTGTCACCGTCAAGCCAGAAACCATCCGATCGTGACAACCCCACCGCAACCACCGACGGACCACCACGATACCCACCGTCAAGCCACAAACACTCCGATCATTCACCGTTAAGCCACAAACCCGTCAAACCATCAGATCTGTCACCGGAAATATTTGATTTTAGTGAAGGGAACGTTTTGGAATTATTATTATTATTATTTTTTTTTAAGGTTTGTAAATATGTTGTACATGTTGGATGAGCGCATGAATTTGTTCGGTGTTGGAGTTTGCAAATGAGTTTAATTTGTTTTTTTTTTTTTGCAGGTTTGTAAATATGTTGTCTGTATTATGTGTGCGTGAATTTGTTTGGGGCTGGAGTTTGCGAATGGGATTAATCTTTTTTTTTTTTTGTTTTTTTTTTGTTTTGCAGGTTTATAAATCGTTGTAAAGAGACTCGTTGGCTTTTGCGAATATAGTTAGCTTCTGTGAAGACACCCAACGCAATTATACTTATTTCTATTTTAATTTTGCCATTGTTAGTACTTTTATTCCTTCTAACACAAGCGTAAAAAAATTGTGCAGCTTCATATGTTATGTATGTAACATTCTGTATGTAATGGATAAATTTTGGGCGTAAAAAATTATTGGATAATTAGAAATATTTTTTGCGGATTTCACTAACTGATATATTTGTTCTGTAAATTCGACATCATTCTTTAATCGTAACAACAAATTACGTTCATATGCACAGATGTCAGTATAATTTGTCTCGACGTCGTAGGGTTGATTACTACTTGAAGTAGAGGCGAAAGTTTTGATGTTTTTTTCCAAAATTGGAGTTCGTCATACACCCAGTTGGTCGACATTGTCTGAATCTGCCCCTGCATTGACGTCATCAAGCAGTGTCGGATCGAACGAGGTATAAGTTTATCTGTGTTTACTTGATTACAACCACATGTTAGTATTATATTTTTTAATGTGATTGGTGATTCGTATGGTGTCCCAATGTTTGTTGTCCCTTACCGTACTGTCCTTAGATGAGTGATTCTATGGCTTGGTGCGCTGAGAGGACCCACAAATTTATGGTCCTGTTATCTGAGCGGGCCAAAACTTCACACGGAACTGCAATAAAAACAGCTGATTACTAGGAAATGTTGGATGACATATCATCACTGGTTGGCAAGAGACTCAATGTCACACAATTAACCTCTAAGTTCTTTTGCCTGCGAAAAGTTTATCAAACATGGTGGAAATTGCTACAACACACGGGGTTCGAGTGGGATCATGAGTCACAAAGTCCAACATATCCCGTTGAGGTTTGGCAAGAATATGTCGAGGTAAATTTTCATATTTTTTTAACTAATATTATTCAACAACACTGTAAATGTACGCATTTTTTTCGAACTGCTAAATATTAATATATTATTCTTTTAACTTACCAGCAAAACCCACTGGCGTAACAATTTTACCACAAGGGACTTCCTCAAAAGGAACTTTATGAAATAATATTTGAGAAGTAAACTGCCACTGGAAGATATGCATACACATCTACATCCCAACCGGTGGAGACCTCCAGTTATTCCAATCCCAGCGCAGTTCCCATGGATGATAGCGACTTTGAACTTGATCCTGATCGGACGATAGGGGAAAACAGCCAAACACATCTGGCCATGGAAGAGCGAGAAATAGGAGGAACAAAAGCGGCTTGGGACAATCACTTGCGGATGCCATTTTTAGATTGACTAACAAGCTTGCGGAGAAGCGGACTATGGGATCGAGGGCTAGCAATCGCAGTGCAGATGAGAGGGAATAAGAGAACACCAGTGCTTCATCTGATCCTTTTTCCATGAGTAATTGTATTGACATCATGATGGCCATGCAAGTACCAACACAGTTTTACCTGTCGGTTGTCACATACTTATATGAAAATCTAGGGTGGCGGGAGATATTCGTGAAACTCCCACAGGAGGAAAAGGCTAACTGGATTTATAACAACTTTCCCAATAAGTAGATGACACTATATTTCATAAGTGTTTGGCAACAATTTTTATGCGTCAGTGGGCAGTTGTCATTACAATTACAATTTATAATGCTACTGTATGAATTTATTTATGTGATATTACATGTGTAAACATCGTTTTCGATTGTCATTACAATTAAATATTGACTGTTATATTTTGCTAAGTAGTACAACAACTATTAATTGTTGACAATTGTTGAAAAATGTTTTGCAAATGTGTAGGTTTAAATGGCGTTGTCTAGCCGTACAGGAAAAAGATGACGTGCTACAGATGAGAGGGACAAAGAAGAAATACTGACAGATATAGCCATTGCACTCTGCGGTGTTGCCGCGTTAGAAGCAAGTGGGCGTGAACTACGACATACATCCATATTAACTGGTCATCAGTACATGTTGGAAGTACTCAACAGTCATCCTGACAGGATCTATGACAAGTGTTGCATGGACAAAGACTGTTTTACATTGTTATGTGAAATTTTGTCAGATCATGGCAAATTGCAACCAACCAGGAAGACGAGATTGGAAGAACAAGTTATGATATTTCTAACAATCGTTGGAAAAAACGAGACAATCAGAATAATGATGGAGGATTTCCAACATTCGGGTGAGACGATCTCTAGACATGTTACCGCAGTTTGCGACGCTATATGTGAGTTGAAGACAGAGTTTATCAAACCACTTGACTTCACTGATGTTCCATGGGAAATATCAGCCAATATAAAATATTACCCTTTCTTTAAGGTGCTGGTTCATTATATTTGCTATTAGTAGATAGTTAAGTTCATTGTGTTATTAATTTTTATAGTAGGTTAATATGAGTAAAATTCAATTTTCATGATAGGACTGTATTGGAGCCATGGATGACACACATGTATACGCTTCGGTTCCACGTGAATTTGCCGATAGGTATTGGAATCGCAAAGGAACGATGTCATAGAATGTAATGGCTGTATGCGACTTTAAGATGATGTTCACTTATGTTGTTACTGGATGGCAAGGATTTGCGCATGATTCAAGAGTTTTAAATTCAATTCTTGATGATCCTAATTCTGGATTCCTACATCCTCCACCAGGTATAAGTATTTTCTTGACGTATTATAACATATTACCTCCACTGTTGAGGCCCTGTAATTCAAATAAAATGTCTGATATTATTACAGGGAAATACTATTTGGTTGATGCGAGTTATCCAAATAGAGATGGGTTCCTCGCCCCTCATAGGCGAGTGGCTTACCATATTTCTAATCACCGCCGTATCCGAAGGGGGCCACAAGAGTTGTTTGACTACAGACATGCTTCACTCTGCAATGTTGTCGAAAGAACCTTTGGTGTTTTGAAAAGATGGTTCCGTATTCTAAATGGAATGAACAATTACCCTTTGGACAGACAAGGGAAGATTGTTATGGCATGTTGTGTACTTCATAATTTTATCAGAATGTACAATATGGACGATCGTATCTTTGAACAAACCAATAATAGTACTGGTAATGAGCAAGTATATTGTGATCATCAAAACAGTGCCGAATATGGCCGAAATGGAGAAGGACCGAGTCAACCGCAAGAAGGTATTACAGACAACATGACGACTATATGGGATAACATAACTTATGCACTGTGGGCAGCACAGTGGATCATGTCGTAGTTGTTAATGAAGTATACATGTAATAATGATTGTAAGGGTTGATAATTAGTACTTTTGTCATATATGTATTAACGTGATGTTTTTAAGCAGTTTAATTAGTACTTGAAATTAATATGGGTTTTTGTTTTTTAATATCTACGGGTGACAAAATTACCAATAAAATATTTAATATTATTAAAATGTAACTTGATAAGTTATATATATAATAATACATTATTTTAACAAAAGGCAACAAAATATTATATTAATAAATCATTCATAAAAAAATATATTAATCAAATATTCAACACAAATATCAATGTCAAAATACTTTACCAAACACATATTCTACAAATTTTATTCTCGTAATCATAACCCTATCCAACTATCCAATATTATTCCTAAAATCATATCTAAAATAATGAACCAAACACACCCAGTATTATTTATAATATTTTTCTTTTTTACTAATTAACATAAAAAATCAATATTCCTAATTAATTAAATAAACAAAGAAAAAAATGTATCTTTATACTTGGACTAATAGATAATCGAATAAAAACTTTGAATTAACTAAATTTTAATTTATAATAAAATAATTAAGAAATAAACTATTTAAGGGTATTTTTGTCTTTTCAGTCAAATATTAACAGAAAACACTAACAAAACCTAATAAAGGGTGGGAAAGTGTCATTTTGAAACTTAATGGGTGGTAAAGTGTTATTTCATCAAACCTTGGGTGGGAAAATGTCGTTCTCCCTAACAAAATTTGAACTGAAAATTATGGGATGAAATCGATGTGATGTTAATCAAGACTTTGAAATGACATAAATCCCAAAATAAAAAATTCTAAAANAGTTTAAAAAAATTTCAAAATATTACTTTAATTTTAATTAAATCAGGTGAATGGGGTGGGAGAAAAAGTACACTAAGTCAATCTAAGAATAGAAAGTTATGGTAACAAAATTTGAACTGAAAATTATGGGATGAAATCGATGTGATGTTAATCAAGACTTTGAAATGACATAAATCCCAAAATAAAAAATTCTAAAAAGAAAAAAAAATATTAAATTCAAAAAACTAAAGGCACTCAGCGTTTTTGTCCCCAATTGAGCTGATTGAGCTTCTCCTAGACCCAGTCTGCTCCTCAACGAAATTCAAAAACCCCAAAAAACCCTTCTCCTTTCATCGAAATCTTTGATTTTTCCTCAACTGGGTTCTGGTCTTTTGGGGTCGAATTTCACGAGGAATTCCTTAAAATTTGAGCTTGATTTTGAAGGTCTAGGGTTGTTTCAGATATGGGAAGTAGAAAAGAAGAAGAGAGGAATGAGAAGATTATAAGAGGTCTCATGAAGCTGCCTCCGAATCGACGTTGTATTAACTGCAACAGCTTGGTATTTTTCATTTTTTATTTTTATTATTTGTTCTTTCTTTTTGTTTTTGTTTTTGTACTTTTCAATATTTTTGAACTGGTAGCTGAAGGGTTTGGTGCTCAAGGTCTGTTTGGTTGCTGAGAAAGTGTGGAAAGATGGAGGGATTTGGAGTATTTTGAAGAGAGAGATCGTGATTCAGTGATGTTGAATTTTCTTGGAAAGTAGTTTGATGAAATGGGTTTTTCATTTTGTGTTGTTTTGAAGTGAGAGAGAGAGCTTGTGAGTTTTTCTCTGACTTGTGAGATCAAAATTTGTAAAAATATGATTTTTTGGAAGTGTAAATCTGTTTTATTTTTTTAGGCATGTTTAGGATGAAATCACTTGGCGAAATTTTATTTCTGGTGTCATGTAGTATGAATGATGAAACCATGTGAGGAATTTATCACAAGTTGAATTGTTGGGGAACACTTTTGGAGTCCAGTGGTTTGAGTTTATGGAGTACTTGAACATAAAATATGGGGTACCATTTCTGCGACACTATGGTTATAGGGGAGAAAATGATGAAAAAATTACTTTGCAGAAAGCAAGCAAGAGTAACCGTCTTCGGTATCTCTGAGATTGAGGATGATACCTATTAAATTAGAGTTGGATGAATGCTATGCGATTGTGGGAATGTCTGCCAAGTTGAGAAATGTACAAATTGTAGAACAAGTATTAATGTTAACTTAAAGACTAAAGAATGTTGGGAATAAAATGAGTATTGCTGAAATGCAGATGTTAGAATTGATGTGTAATAACATAAGAAAAAATGAGGCAAAAAATGAATACCTTTGTAATTTTGTTAGAAGGTAGAGGTAATACTTGGCATAAGTTGTAGAGAGAGTTGATTGAGATGGTTTTGTCATATGTAATATAAAGCTATGAATGTGCTAGTGTTATAGTGATTTGATAGAAGTTGTACGGACTAAAAAGTGAAGGAATAGAAAAACAATTACGTTAGAGAAAATTTTAATTTTAAGCTTCTTAGACAGAATATGAATCTGTGACCAACCTGTGTAGCTCAGGATTGAGGCTTAGTTTATTTGATTTGTCTTTATGGTTGCTTAATAAGGTAACCGCAGTAGTTCTGGAAATAGTTTAAGAATGGGCATTTGTTATTTGGAGACAATTGAATTAAAGTCATCACTTAAATAAGCCTAATATTATCATTTCCCTTGTGTTGAAGATATTGACCATATTTATTTGGTCTTCTTGCCCATTGTTTTCCATTTTTATTTTTTTTTATTTTCTCAGAATGTTTATTGATTTACTGTATAATATCATCTGTGCAGGGTCCGCAATATGTTTGTACCAATTTTTGGACTTTTGTTTGCATGACTTGCAGTGGGATACAGTGAGTACTTTTGTGTTGATTTCTTAATTTGTTGTTTTTTTTTTCTTTTCAGTTTTTAGCAGTTTCATTGCACAGGTACTGGTGTTTTAAAATATGTATTCTCATGTTCTGAGATAGGAGTAGTCTGGTTCTTCAAGTTAAATGAACTAGATTTATCCATTATTTATAATAAACTATTATATTCTGACATTGTTTAGATAGGTGTTTCATATGCTTATATGTGTACAAACTTGGGTCAATTTGTTATATATTTTACTTTAGCCTACCTATGAAATGGAAGTTGGACTAGAGTCAGAGGAGTGACATTGACCAATATGAACAGTTCCATACACATAGAAAAGGTGACATGTTGATGGGTTGGTTTGCTTATCTTTTCTTTTTGGAGAGGGAAATTGTCAGCAAATGTTCCATTAATCCTTTTGAATCTTCATGTTCTTTTTCTTACATATATTTTTCTTATATTTTTGGTGACATACAGTCGTGAGTTTACTCATCGTGTGAAGTCCGTATCGATGTCTAAGTTTAGCTTGCAAGAAGTTGAAGCACTTCAAAATGGGGGTAATCAGGTACAAGCAACAACAAAAAAAAAAAAAAAAAAAAGTATTCTTTCTTGGTGAAAATGTGATGCTTGTTGTTACTTTGATAAGATGTTCGCTTTTTTCAGCGTGCAAGGGAAATATATCTGAAGAATTGGGATCCACAAAGGCAAAGATTACCTGATAGCAGGTGCAGGATAAATAATTTGTTGCTGAAGGCATGTAAATGGAAAAAAATGTAATTTTTCTAACCTTATTTTCTTCTTGCAGCAAAGTTGATAAGGTCCGAGAGTTTATAAAGAGTGTGTATGTTGATAGAAGATATGCTGGAGGAAAGACATCTGAGAAACCTCCAAAAGATATGCAGGCAATATGATCTTAAACACACATCTCTCTTTATTAAATATTTGCTTTTACAAATTTTAGCTGAACCTTAGGGAGTATTCGTCTTGCTTTCTGAATCTATTTTTCTTATCATGAAGTGAAAAATAGAAACGATGCTGTGAACTTGTTCTAATTTTTTTTTCATGAACAGCCTTCTAAAGTCCTTTTTCTTATGATATGAAGAAATACTTGCATTGAATGTTGTGTTTTTCATTAATCTTTATCATTAGTATTATTATTAATTTTGAAAAAAAATTCAAATGTACAATCTTTGTTTTTGGAGCTATTTGGATGTTTAAAAGACATTTTGAGAATTCCTAAAAGAAAGGGTACTTTCAGAATGGAATCAAAAGGCACTAAATCATCTATGCCATTGCCCTTTTGTTCCATTTCAAATTATCTCACTCTAACCTTGGGTGGAACTGTTACATTTAGTATTCATAGATTAATTTTACAGGGCCTAGGAAGTCGTGAAGATGAGACCAGGCGTGCCAGTTCTTATCATTCTTATTCCCAAAGTCCACCTTATGACTATCAATATGAAGATCGGCGTTATGGAAAGCAAAATGCTTCACTTACCAGGAAACCTGGTTCAGATAGAGGCCACTATGTTGGGAAGATCTCAAGTTTTGTCTACAGTCCTGGTCGGATGAGTGATCAAATGTTTGAGGACAGGTTTGCTAATGAGGGCTCTGGTTCTAGGGTTTCTGACTTCTCTGTGTCTAGTGGAGGTGATCCATTCAGGTCTGGTACAGAATCTCCTAACTTTGAGAAGGATATGGGATTTAACAGCCCACCTGTTCAGCCTTCAAGGGATATTTCATCCTCAATGGCAAATTTCAGGAGAGAAGTAGATGGCATTCCACGTCCACAGGTCATATATCTTACAATTGCTTCAGTTAGTAGCAAGATGCAGTTTTCCATAGTTTTCCAATTGTTTCCATATGGAAGTATCCTAATTTAAATGGTGCATTGACATGGCATATATTACTTTTAACACTTAATGTAGTTTGTTTTTCGGTGGGTGTTCTGTATAAAGTGATTGTCAGCTACTGAACATATGAATCGGGTGAATCTTTGAATTAAGCTTTGCTGTAATGTTAACTGTAATGTTAATTTTGTTTGATATGCACATAATTGCACTATCTTATTGAATTTATTAAATATGTGTGCTCTTTGCTTGAAAGAAGGAGATAGAATTCTGTCCACAGGTTCTAAAGGCTTGGTTTACAATTTACTAAATGTGAAAGTGAAGCATCAATGCCATGTTTGATACATGTCTCTCCTATCATGTTTCCTAATCCGCATGACCCTTGCATAGTGATAGCATTAGTGAATTTTTCATGTTAATATTAAGGTTTTATTGACTTCTAGCAATGATTAAATTGTAATAATACATGAACAAACACATGTGGTAACACATAAACTGAGGAACTTTTCTTACACAATGCGATGTCAAGCGGTTGAAATATGATTAAACTATAATGTTGGCATATGCTTTGTTCAGGCTTTTGTTTAATTTGATTTTGGGTACATACTGTTACACAGGTTTTTTTCTTTCTGCAAATGTTTCATCCTCTTTCCTTTTCCTGTTCTTCTGTTTCTAAAAAGTTGGCATTTGTTTATTGTTCTATTCAGAGAACAACATCCTTGGGAAGCTTTGGATCATTTGACAGCAACTCTGTGTCTCTCAAGTCGTATAATTCAGGTAGCTTTTTAGATGTTGTCTCAGAACCCGAACAAGCTGCTGTAGCCCGCCAGGATAAAATATCCACTGTCGCACAACCCTCTGGTCCAGTGAATTATGGTGGCTTGGACCTTTTTCAGGCACCGGTTGTAGAAGAATCAGTATCCTCTGCTGCTCCAATTGATTTGTTTCAGCGACCAGCAACATCAACTCGTGTGAATGTGTTTCAAACGTCACAAGCATCTTCTGCTCCATCTGTCAATTTTCATCAGCCTCCCCAAACTGCACCTAAATCTTTAGATTTCTTTGATATTCCTGAGCAGTCATCCACTTCAACCTTGGATATAAAATCTCAGGAGTTTTCTGATCCAAAAAATGAAGGATGGGCAACATTTGATACACCACCTACAGCATCCATTCCAAAAAATGAAAGTCTTTCCCCTCCTATAGTTCCTGTTAATGGAGTTTCTTTAGTCAAATTTGACCAACATACATCCGTCAATACAACTTCTCAGTGGCCAACAGTTCTAAATTCTGGTGCTCACCCTCCTACCCCATCTGATCTGTGGTTTGATGGTTTAAACAATGTTCAAGCTCCCACTATGGCTACTAACACTCAGGTAAGCAACCTTTAATTTTCCAATATGCCTTTGTAAAATAGTTTAGGAATACTCTTTTTGTTTTAAGTTTTTTGTGCTCCACTAGTTTCAATTTGCTACTTTGTGCCATCTTTTGAAATTTATGATTTGGGGTATGTAATCAATTTTATCTATTATTTCTTAGCAGTCATGGAATGCTTTCAATGATTCTACCGGCCATCTTCCTTTGGAGGGAGTTGAGCAAAATTTTGAACCACAATTAGCAGCTAATCAGCCTTCATCAACTACAGATCAGCATTTCAACGTAATAATTTCAAGAGTTGCTGTCTCTGCCTTAGAATTTTTGTAAAAGCCCTGCTTTTCTGTTTCATTCTTACAGATTTTTATTTGCAGGACTCTAATCATGGTGGAAATCACAGCGCTGTCTCACTACATGGACCACAACCAATGAGTGTACCGTCACACATTGATGTGGGGCCACTATGTACACCATCAGTGCTTCCTCTAGTGGTTTGTACTACTATTTTTCTGTGTGATATTAGCCATTATATTATTACTGATTTATCTGTATGTTTATGAATATACATTTTTATATGCAGGGAGAGACACAAACACAGGCCACTGATCTTAAATCAACAAACCCGTTTGATTTTCCTTATGATTCTGATTTGGAGCAGAAGAATATGGTATGCCATAGATTTTCTTTTGTCAAGAAATAGTAGTACTGATCTCTCTTTTAACTGAAACTGGAAATATATTTACCTTTACGTTTAAATCCTATTACTCTCTTTGTTTAGCCTTGCTAGTTAAGAGCTTGAGTGACATTCTAGGTAAAAGTAAGGATTTGCTGACAGAGGAGGAAAAGTGTGATGTTAATATGTAGCATGGTTAGAGAAGAAATATATTCATTAGCTGTGGCTAAATCCCCGTGTCTTATTAACAGACAACTAAGAAGTCTATCAGCATTAGGGAAAGTAACTTGATGGTTATTGAATTCTCTGCTTGTTGCTGGTTCAGTAGTAGTTATGTTTATTTGTGCAGGGAGGTTTAATTATATACTATGTTTAGCTATTGTTAAAAGTTCCTAGATATTTTGCCATGCTGACCGGTGCTATGTTAATTTCTAAATTTGATGTCAAGACCACTAGATTCATAAAGTAAGGTGCAAACAATTGAATCTTCATTGGAGGAGATAAGAGGAAGCTAGGGAAGGTTGTTGACTTTTTTATTTTCTTTGTGTGCATAATTTGTTGGACTAGGTTGTTAGGATCCCACATTGAGAGGGAAAAGGGGTGGGCATGTGGTTTATAAGGGCTTGGGCACCCTCCCTTGACAAGCCGGTTTTTCAAAGAGATTTCTACCCAAGCCCACAAAAAGACTATTGTCCAGCCCAATTCTTATCAAAGGCTCACTGTCCAACCCAATTTCTATCAATTTAGGAATGAGTTTCTATCAAATGGTATCAGAGCAAGCCCCACCTTCCAAGCCCACGTAGCAGGGCCTAGTGGGCCCCCCAAGGGGCTGAGAAGGAGAGTTGCTGATAGGCTTCTAGGCGAAGTAAGACCTGAATGGAGGCAGTAAAGCCGATGAGGTCGGGGTAGCCGATGAGGGCGGGCACTCTTTGGAAAGAAGACCAACGAGGGCGTTGGGTCTTGAAGCGTGGGGGAATGTTAGGATCCCACATTGAGAGGGAAAAAGGGTGGACATGTGGTTTGTAAGGGCTTGGGCACCCTTTCTTAGCAAGCCGGTTTTCCAAGGATAATTCTACCCAAGCCCACAAAAAGACCACTGCCCAGCCCAATTCCTATGAATCTGGGAGTGGGTTCCTATCACAGGTCAAGTTTAACTTTTGAAGTCTTCCAGATCTGGTCCAAGTTCAGTCCCAATGCTTCAATCAAACATTTAAGTTATTTAATTTATATTCCTTTGACTTCAGGAATCAGTCATGATCTCTTTTATTTATTTTGAAGTCTTACTTTCATGAATCAGTTCCACTCTTATTATCCTCCAAAGCATGCATGTATCAAAAACTTTGCTATATACTGGATTCAATAAAGTTATTGATTTGGAGATTCCTGGTTTTTCTAAAAGATAAATAATTGTGAAATTGCTGAAGATTTGGTACAAATGTTTTAAAGGAGCATTCGGTAGTGTTTTGTGTCTTCTTGTTTTCAAAGAATGAACTCAAATTGAAAATAGAGAACTCAAAATGAAAACAGAATTTTAAGGGGGTTTTCTTATGAACTCAAACCCACTTTTCCACTTTTTTCGTTTTTTTGTCTTGTAGAAACTGAAGACTTTGTTTATCATTTATTTTTGCTATTTCCATAACACAAAATTCAAATACTAACTGTTATTTAAGTTAAATTTGTCGAACTTTTTTTTGTAGAAACAGAGCAGTATATTGTCAAATTTGTATAGACATACTTGATTTGTGTATCAGGGCAGGTTGGTATGATAGTTGTGCACTTTTGGGGCTATACAAAGCATTCATGTTTAGTAAGTCCAAGCATCATTTTGATTTATATCCCGGGCTTGTATGATACTAATGTTATTTTAATTTTCTCTTTCAATTCCCTTTCTGTTTCTGTCTATTGTAAGAGACTTAATGGTGTGAAGTAGGGGATTTTGGTGCAGTAGGCAGGAAGGTTCTTTGTGTCTGAGGTGTTAAGGATGGTTTAGGGAGGGACAGATGGCATTAAGGGAGTGGACGATTGAAGAATTCTGTTATGAGGAATAGAATAAAAGGGGAGACAGCTGGATATGGGGGATACTCTGGAAAAAGTAAAGGAAAGGGAAAGGGAGGTTGCTGGCCCTCGAAGTCTAGCATGTCTATGTCCATTTTTGTTATCCTTTTACTGTTCTTTTGGTTGTGTTAATTTTCATTTTTGGTTGTTCTTGTCTGATACAGTTCTCTTATATATCAATATACTTATCATCTTTCTGGGTTTTGGCTGTGCCTAATACTGTTTTGCTGGTTTTTGCTATTTTGGTTTGCTGTGGAATTGTTGCTTGGTTCAGTTGTGGAAGAGGGTTCCATCAGTGACCAGGCTGTTTTCAGTTTGTCTAGTTTCTTGCCAGAGAATTTTCAATTTTTGATTTGTCATACCTAATTTTGTCTTGCAATGTATCATTTTTCAGTTCTTGGACATGAGCTCCTTGCAAACTGCACTCCCAAATGCACAGTTAACATCCACCTTCCTTGGTGGTGCAACTCAATCATGGTTTTCTCAAGATCCAGTGACTCCTTTTATCCCTGCAGCATCACAGGGTAATTGTTCTTTGCCTCTTGCTACTGAAATATATTCTTACTTAATACAGGACTGCTGTTGTTAGTGTTGTGTTTGTTTCATAGTAGTTTGAAGCATTTTATTGGATAATGAGCAACTCTGTAGACATGAAACATCTTTGACAATGGCATTTTTCATCTTTCCATCCAATGTGCAGGTGGCTTTGCCTACATGTCTGGACAGGCACCAACCCCTCAATTACAGTAAGTTTGTAATTTGCTCTTGTTATTATTTGGGCAGTGGCTGTAATAATTGTTTTTGAAATGGTGAAATCACTTTTCTGGCAATTCTTTTGTCATCATTTTACTCAAAAGTTATGAATTGTGATTTTTTATCCCAACATTTGAATTTAGCAAGAAGTTTGGGCAGAGATTGCCTGAACACTAACATGCTTATTTGCTTGAATTGTGGTCTTATGTGATCTAGTCACTCGCTGTTCGCTGTAGTACAAACTTTTTTTAGTTGCTGTGGTGGGTATGAGGGTTTGCCTTACCTAAAACTCAAAGCAAGACTTCACATCTGTAGTGTATCCTAGTCCTGCTTATGCTTAAACCTTCATCCAAAACCTAAACATCTTACCTGTTAATAATTGAAGAACTTCAATTTATTATTCGGCTGTTGACAGCCTTTTGTGCCTCCAAACCTGGCCTTTCTAAATATTCAAACTAATTGTTACTTTTTGGTATACTTAATCACCTAATGAGCAACATGCAGAGTTTATAAGAGTCTCTCTTGCATAAGATGAGAAAATAAAATTGGGAAGGCTTCATATAAGGTGGCTATTCGATCATAATGTTCATTTAAGATGCCTCTGGATGTAAACTATTTGATTGGAGTTGAAGTTGCTTTATATCTTTGTATCTTTAACCAATGTGGGAATAGCTTTTTCTTTGGCTGCACTTTGTTGAAAGGTTTTCCGATTGTTATGAATCTACATATTATTTTCTAGAAATGTCATTTCTTAGAACATTTAACATTCTGGTTGGGATACTCTTTTTTCCAAAATATTTTCCGTGGTTCTATACTACTCAAGTTGATTAAATATGAACAGACCCTTAAGCTGTTACCATTTTGAGTATTATATCATGAAATAGCTAAACTTGGTTCCCTTATTTTCAGGAATGTCCCAGCACAAGGGCCTGTTGCTTCTGTTGGAGGAAATCCATTCGCTTAGAATTCCTCCGGCAAAACTTGTGTTCCGACTATGTCAAGTTGGTAGTGAAAATTTTCTTGTGACTAATTGTAGCGTGTTATTTATTACACTATTATGTCATTATTCTTGAGCGTATTGGATGTGAAAATAAAACCTTTATGTGAATAACTTGGCACCAAATTTGGAAGGCCGTGAAAGTATTTATTGCATCTTTTTCAGGCCTAATATTTGTATTTGAATCACGTTGTTAGAAGTTAGAACTAGTGATTGTAGCTACAAGAATTGGTTTTGTAAGGTTCTTTATATTGGATCAAAGATGTGAATACCTTTCTGGTTTTTATTACTATGATGCTCCCTTGTAAATTAAATGTCCAAGTATTTGTATTTTACTATGTGAAAGGTTTTTATTACTATGATGCTTCCTTGTAAATTAAATATCCAAGTATTTGTATTTGACTATTTTCATTCATTCAGTAGATTGAAATAATATTTTACAGATAAAAATCAAATTGTGATAAACTGTCATGTTTTACGGAAACCCCTATTTGGTTCATTTTCCTCAACTAAATTATCACAAAAAATCAATTAATACGTATAAGTATAACCAAAACAATATATATCTCGTAAAACAAGATATGGTGTGTCTTGTAATGAGCAAGCACATAACATGTTAGGGTGATTTTTGAAGATGTAATTGTCAGAATGTCTGTCTTCCCGACACACAGTGTGCAGGAATGTCTTTATTCTAGCGCTTTGTCTTGTACAAATGCAAGACATGCTCAATTATTTGCTTGACTAAATATATAGTTACAAAATCTTTAGATTTTACCATTTAAATGGAGTCCAATCCAAAACAGATGACCTCCAGTAGAAGAAACTACTATCTATTATAGGCTAAAATACAAGATAAAACAATAGTTAGACAGTACATAATGAGTACCAATTCGTCAAACACAGACTTTTCTGAACAATTGAAATGACTTATCTCTTCCATGGCCAACCAAGAGTAAAATACAATCAATGTTTAAGCGTGTTGAGAGAAATATTGAATTGTTAAGGGAGATATGTTTACTTCTTGATTTCATATAGAATCTTTTCCGAAATGGGCTAGTTTCAACATATGGGTTAAATCGGCTTTATTTAATATAATTTCCTGAAAATCATCTTACACCAACCATCTAAGAACAAAATACACAATTGAAAAATACAATTATTGATCAAAAACAAAAAAACTTCAATGATCAAACGATATTCTAAAAAAAAAATAATAATAATAAAAAAAAATTATAAATATAAGAAACCATGACATAGTTTTCTTGGTTAATGTCCAATTCCCCAAAGAAAATTTCAAATTGGATCCTAGAAAAACCATGAAAATGACATAAGAGTCATCTATATATTAGCTAAGAAGATTCAGTCAGCAGATAAATTTAGGTTATAATTTTATCTTTCAATGAAATTACTAAAGGATTAAATAAAATGAACTTATCTTCAACTCTAATTTATCTTTTGCACTCTTAATGCCTTTATCTTAGATCAGATTTTATCTAAATCTATTAGATGATAGAGAAAGAAAGTATCCCAAAGGACAAGGGACAATTCGGAAATATTAAGAAATAAATTGATATGGTTTTTTAAGAAATGGATGAATTCATATATGGTAATTACAAAAAGTAAACAATTAAAATTTCATTTCGTTTTTCCAAAAATAAAATACAAAGAGGAAAATAAATCCTGCTTTAAGCAACCTTATTCTCATCCTTGTGATTCTATGATTGTATGCATGGAATATCAATGATAAACCAAGAATGAAGAGAACTTGTATAAAGGAGAAATTTAATTCAATTATTTGAGGTAATTAAGTAGTAGCCTCTGTAGTCCCTCACATTTGCTACCCAAATCATAACAAAAGAAGCAACATATGGATATGGGATTGCCTTTAAGCTATAAAACGGTTTCAAGCCTTTACTTGCAAGCCACAATTCTCATGCTTAGCTTAGCTTAGCTTGCATTATTCCCCTCGGCGTGAAAATCTTATATACACAACTATACGACCATTTCTGGCATTTGGCCTTCGTGTGGAATGTTACGTATATAAACAATGCGGCACTTACCTCCAGCCATATTATTCAAGTGTTGTAGAAAACCAAACGTGGATTAAGCGTGTTTGAGAGATGTCTTCTAGCCTATGCCTCCAAAACTATTTTGTGTTGTGTTATATCATTTTAATGGAGAAGATAATATCTTTATAATGGTTAGACTAGAGACTAAGGTAACTCCTATAATCTGCTTTTAACCTCCCATCAAGGATAAAAAAAGCTAGTTAACTAACTCTTTTAAACCACCTTGAACTGCATAATTGTGGCATGTGGCCACATCAAGTCTTACACTTCAAGCTTTGCCACACGTTAAATCCTTTCCCCAAACTACAAAGCTTCCTAAATTATTAATAAACCTTCAATTCTCCAAATCCCGATCAAGATAACGCATATAAATACTCATTCAAACACATACTTAAAATATATTCAGTTAATTGTTCAATATGTCAACTAGAGGTTCTTGGCAAAGCTTTCTTCAACTACTTCATCGTTTACAGACACACCTCCACCTATAATTCTCCATGCCATCTTCCGGCCGGCCGTGTTACTGTCCCTAATCTTGGACATGGCTTCTCAATGCGTCAGACTCAGGGTCTCCTTTTGATCAGCAATGGCAACAATGGAGCATGTAGAAAACTTGATTCTAACATGTGATTGAATATTGCTACCAAAAATTTGTTATCACTCGTTTTCGACTACTCGAAAATAGAATATTCATGTCTAATAATTTTTCTCTTAATTTTATTGTAGGTTGAAGGATGATATAGACAAGGTTAAACCAGCACCAGTAACATCTCCACCTCCAAGGTTTAACTTCGCCCTCTGGTATGAATTTAATTAAGAAATTGTTTAATTGCATAATGCAGGGTTGATAATTCATTGTTTAGATGATTTGAATAGGCAAATAAAATACACTAAAATCAAATATGAAGAATCAACAGAATTAGTTGAATTACCATGCAGGGCAAGATGGATTTTGGGATCTATACTCTCTCTCTTGCTACCTTTCTGTAAACAAAAATGGGAGAAGCTACAAAAAGTAGAAGGTAAATTTTATGAAATTATAGATATCTTCAGAATAAGTTTTTTTTTTTTTTTTTGTCATACATGCAGCTTGTTACCACCAACTGAATTTTAAATTACCATAAACTGAGATTTCTTCATCTAATCCTTAATTTAGTGATTGGTCAAATGATATACGGATATCGTAGAGACTATGAAACGAAATGATTTAAATAATTAATATGGGCACAGTATGTAAAATGCATTTGTGCGTCTGGCCCGTCTGCCCTCTCGTATTTATAAAGACAATTAATCTTTTTGTATTTAAATATAAAAAACAATCTACAACAGAAATACCATAATTCGAGGTTAAATTTTTACAGGCAAAAGGATTTAATTAGTCCTAAAATTTTGTGGAATAAATGAAAAACATGATTATGTACATTAGAAACCTTACAGAGATTAATAAATTCGTGAAATTAATTAGTTTATAATTTGTAAATCTTAATAGGAGAGGCAGAAATGGTGGTTGAGGAGATAGAAAATGTAGCAGAGGTAGTAGAAAAGGTGGCAGAGAAAGTATCAACATAAATGGCAGATAAGCTTCACGATCATGCGAAACTCCAAGAAGCTGCATTGTAGGTTGAACGTGTTTCCCAAGCAACTGCTCAGGATGGTAAACTAACCATTAATTTCATTCACAAGGTAACCCTTTTTATTATTTATTCACCCAATTACTCAATCTAATATATAGTTATTGTCAACAAAATATTAATATATTATCAAATTGGGAAAAATAGAGCTTTATTTAATTTAACAGTTAGTCTTCAATAAAATAGAATGTTAAACTTGTTCAATTTTTATTTCATATTGCGTACAGAAACCGTGTTTCTTAACATAAGCCATAATTTTGAACTATGTTTTAAAGGACCCTAATTGAGTTCCAAACTAACCTTGCATTACTTAAACCTCCAGTACTACAGTTGTAGACTGTGTCTTGTACTAAATAAATTTCTTTGAAGAAGACGATTAAAAAATACAATATTTTAAGAAAGTTGAGATTTGACTCCTTATTTTCCCGAAAAACTTTTATAAAGGGTCACCAGGAAATGGTTGCTCAAAAGTTTATGACAATATATAAACCTAGGAGCATGAAACTGGCCACTGTACAAGATTATTACGGATTCAGGGTCAATAAAATGGTGCTTTTCAAGTAGTTTTAATTGAAGAAATTTAAATGTAGTTAATGGGGCCTGTTCAAGAATTTTGTGGTGACTAAATAACACCACTATTTTTTTTTTTTAAATTCATTCCAACGTGTAGAATAAAATTTGATATGATGGTTTCACACAATGGCGTTGCCAATAAGATTTAATAACATGAACCCCAAGAGGTTGGCCTGACGTTCAATAACGTTTGCTCACTTCCTTGAGTTTTTTGGTTCAAACCTTGGGGCCACCTACCATAATAATATTATGGTTTACCTGGTTATTTGAGTTTGTAGGATGTTCAATGGACTTTGGGGATTAATTGAGGTGCACGCAAGCTAACCTGAACACCCCAGTTACAAAAGAAAAAAAAAAAAAAAAAAGATTCAATAACATGTAAGATGTTGGATCGTCTAAATGTAAAATTTAGGATACATTTTGAATAAATATAGTATTACTTTTATTTTTCAGTTTTGATAAATATTGAAATGTATATATTGTGAAAAACAAAGAGATAATTCAAAGAATTTGAGAGAGAAAGGAAGTAATTATGTTATTGATTTTTTTGGGTTAAAGATGCAAGAAGAAGAATCATTTTCTTTATATAGTAGCAGAGGTAGTAAAGGTAAAGTAGTTCAGCTACTCAACTCAAGCAGATAACATAACTGAAAACGACAACATTTAACTTCTTAATCAAAACAACATCATTTTGAGTTTATTGAGCTCAATTGCAATGAAGTCAACAATCTTTTATTCTTGACACTCTGATCTACATTCCCCCTTAAGCTGAACCAGCTTC